CACGATCAGTGAAATTTTCCGAGCAGAGAGTGCTCCTGTTCTAACCCTTTATACGCCTTATTCTTTCAAGAACAGTACAGTACTTCTACCATACATCTTATTTTTCGTTAAAAGTACGGCACCTATTACACTTTACTCTTTCTTGAACAGTTCAGTACTTCCGCATCTTATTCTCATAAGAACAGTGCATTACTTCACTCATATCGTATACACTGTACAGGAGATGTATGAAGTATTGTACTGTCTTACCGTTGAGAAGCTATTTTATAAAACAACCATATGGCGTCTTCATGACAATCCTGGTACGAACATAACCAATTTTAAATTCAAATTATGACATTAATTGTTGCTAAAATTCACAAAAAATCGAGGTTATTTTCTAGGGTAACTCCTTTAAGCTCATTATGTCTGTGCTAGCATGAATAACGTCTCTGCCCTGAGCGCTCTTTGTAGCGATGTCCTCCATCGTCACTAATTAGCTTAAGCCACATCACCTGAATCGATCCTAGCCAATGAGAGAGACCCTACCTGCCATTACTAGGTTTTTTACTCGGAAATGTAATGAACTGGTCAATAGTGCCGCTCCATTGGCCAGCCCTGCACGATTACCTGAGAATCTAAATCGATGAGGTCACTTCAGGCCCCTCATGTACAGCAACAGTGAACGTATCCTGGGTCGCTATGGAGAAGGATATCAACATTAAAATTCAAGTATAATATTAAAACAGAATATTTCTTCGTGAAAATGATCATGAAAGATAGAACAAGATAAATACTATTCCACGTGTGAAGATTTTAAGTGATCGTTGTTTTATTTTTGGTCTGGAGTAGGTGATCCGTGGGACTAAAAAATCGGGTTGTGAACAGGGCAATGCAAATTTTCTTAGATAAATACAGGACAGAAGAATGATTGCTAAGTTGCGTTTGACAAAACTACGCAAACATTTTTAAAAATGTTAAGTTCAAGTCAGTATTTAGCCATGTAATAAACATTTCAAGTGATAGATTTTTATATGAGATTTGCATAGGAAAAGCCATTGTAGAAATCCATGTATTGTAGCTGAAGCTAGATTGATAGACAAAATTTTCAGCTTTCTAAGAACTCCACGGATATCACAACCAAAATTCAGTTAACGTTGGTTCGAGCGGAACCATGCTATAATATATTTTGAATATACGTTATTTCCTCTGCAAAAAATTTTCTGGTATTTGAACGGGAATCACAATTTTAATGCAACCATAATAAAATACTGCTCATTATAATTCAAGATTTATAGTAAATTCGTGTAAAATTGCGTAATTGCTCGTATTCTGGAAGCGTTATAATTTAAATAAAGTCTTGCTGTTGCGAGCGCCCCAGGCTTGAATATTTTAGCAGCAACTGGTCAAATTATCTCATGAAGAACGGCCCGCTTTTTGCCTCTCTCCAGACACAGGTGCGCTGAGCAGGCCATAAATACAGCATATATCAGCGGCGATGATTGGTGAAGCTTCCTTGGCGCCTCTCAGTGAATATTCAACGCCCATATATCGACATGGAAGCGATTCAATGATGACTTATGATGGCTGTGATGCATTGCGTCATGCAGGGCTCAACCATTACCTTGGTATCCGTTAGTATAAGATAAGCAGGTGGTGACATGACTTATGGGCACAGGGAAGGGCTCTAATAGGGCTCACCTGCGCAACCATGCAGTCTTTTACGCCATTTCTGCTCCTAATCGGCGGAGATGTGGCGGAAAATCGCCGGTAATCCGATGGTAATCTGCGGCTTGGACGCCGCAAGCGACGCGACGGATTGACCGGTGATGACAAGGATTATCGGTAGATGTTTCGCCCTCTCTGATTAATGTGGAAGTATCGTAATTGCCCGTATGAAGATGTTTACGACTGCCAATTTTATAACCGTTTCTTTTACCTCTCTTTATTCAAACGTAAAAATCAATCAATGCAGTCAATCAAAAATCATTGCAATCGAAAAGGTTAATCCAAAATTGTACGATGAATCCATGCAGACTTAATATAAGACCAACTTATTAAGAAATATTATGAGAAGTCTCGTTACCATCGCGAGTGCAGCAGTTTGTTTTCGTTGCTAGGAACAGACGTCTGATAACAACGTGACTGCCATAATGCTTATCCCTTATGAATGAACTTGGAGAAAGTTATGTATTGATCGCTTCAGTGTTTCATTACTAAGTTTTCATTATAGCATCATTTCTATTACTATTTAACCATTACTACAGTACTCACATTGCCACGTTTTCATTATTACGTTTGCGTTAGTATAGCATTTCCATTCCTAAGTCTTAATTTCTACGTTCTACTCCCAGCTATAATTTTCTTATAGATACATCTGCCCAGTAAGTGTGGCTCAGTGATGTTTCAATATTACGGATTAAAAATTTCGGATTATTAGAATGTTGGAAACATTATGCCATTGACAAATGAACTAAATGAATTGATAATGCGCCTGTCCTTCATGAATTTTTCGCAGTGGAAGAAAAATTCATACGCGCAGTAGCTGCGCTATTAATAAATGGAATGATAACGTGTAGTAGCAGCGCTATAATGCACGTAGCAATCACGAACTATTATTGCACGAAGTATTTATGCGCATTAGCTGCTCTATAATGCACGCAGTGTTAATGCAGTATAAATGCACGCAGTATTTATGCACATTAGCTGCTCTGTAATGCACGCAGTATTAATGCACTATTAATGCACGCAGCATTATGCACTATTAATGCACGCAGTAATAATGCACTATTAATGCACGCAATATCCATGCACCATTAATGCACGCATTAATAATGCACTATTTATGCACGCAATATCCATGCACTATTAATGCACGCAATATCCATGCACCATTAATGCACGCAATATCCATGCACCATTAATGCACGCAATATCCATGCACCATTAATGCACGCAATATCCATGCACCATTAATGCACGCAATATCCATGCACCATTAATGCACGCAATATCCATGCACCATTAATGCACGCAATATCCATGCACCATTAATGCACGCAATATCCATGCACCATTAATGCACGCAATATCCATGCACCATTAATGCACGCAATATCCATGCACCATTAATGCACGCAATATCCATGCACCATTAATGCACGCAATATCCATGCACCATTAATGCACGCAATATCCATGCACCATTAATGCACGCAATATCCATGCACCNCTGTCTCTTATACACATCTAGATGTGTATAAGAGACAGGGGCATGACGCGCGGAGGAGCGACATTCACGGAGGGCATGACGCGCGGAGGAGCGACATTCACGGAGGGCATGACGCGTGGAGGAGCGACATTCACGGAGGGCATGACGCGCGGAGGAGCGACATTCACGGAGGGCATGACGCGCGGAGGAGCGACATTGTTGCGGTGTCTGTGGCTGCTGCGTTTGATGGATGGACGACCGAAGGGCTGCATGTGGCGCTGTGACGTGAACAGCACGCTAGGCCAAACATGCATTAAAAACATGTTGCATGTATTATACTTTTTAGCGCGTTTTCTGATTTATGGAAAAAATGCACTATTGTGCTCGCCATGTCCGTCTGTCCGTCCGTCTGTCTGTCTTTCCGTCCGTGACTTCACGTTTTCGTCGACGAGAAAATGCGCTCTCTGTCACTCACGGCAATGAGTACTGAGTTATATTTTTTAAACCTTATACGTAAAATATGCACATGTTCCATATTATATATATATATTTAATGAAAATTTTAAATTTCAAGTAACTATTATCTTAAAATAATACAAATGAAAAAATAATTAGACGAGTTTTGCTCCTGCACATGAAAGAAAAATATTGATTTCCCTCGTGGTTTAAACGCTCGAAGTTAAAGAGGTACAAGGCTATAGTGCGGCCACAGCACTTAGAATATTGACTATCAAATACCCATTTGAAGGCGCGAGAGGGAGAGAGAGGGAGAGCGAGACAATGGCTATGGCTTATGAGTGTAATGACTGCATTGTCTGATGTCTGCAGTGAACTTTTAGTGGTGAGTGAAATGGCTGGAGGAGTGCACTTAGTGAGTGAGTAATTGTTATTAATTGACTGGTAAATCAAGGATATCAAACTTTGAATAGATAATAATTCTAACCACGCCTTAATCAATCCTGAGCAGACTGATTTACGAAGACAATTTTGCAATTTAATAAATATATTGACTATATCATTATTTTATGTATGCATTTAATACATCCAAATTTTATTTAATACATATTAATCTAAAACTCCCGGCACCCGTTCAAGAAAGAGACAAAAATTACAAAAATGTTGTTGGAATTATAAAACATCGTTGAATCCTTATTTCCGTTGACGATCCAACGTCAGAATTTCATAAACTCCACCATTCGTTGCGCATCTAAAGTTGTTAGCATAATCCGATCTTTATGGTGAACATTCCTGGACTCTCACCATAATAGGCTTTCACTATTATATCCAACCTATCGGGGGCTCCAATACAGTCTTTCACTATTCTCTAGTCTTGATATTGCACATGTCCGCAAGAATCGACCATCCACAGGAAAGAACCACGAGATCGGAAATGACCACAGAAAAAATCTTTGGAACGCGCCCCAAGAAATTTCCATTTGAATTGTGATGAGTGGCATCCGTGGGTTTATGGCGCGAGTGATGAGCAAAGGGTTCTTGTTGTGGTGCAGGAGTGGCCAGAGGGCGCTACTGCCGCCACGTTTGCAGCTGGACTCGTTCACCAGAAACAGATGGACAAAAATGTGCCGCTGATGGATGAACAGGAAGGACCTAATGGCACTGAGAGGGAGGAGGCCTGGACTGCTTGAATGTCTTCCAGTGAGGCGGAGGAAGAGAGGAAAGTTTCCAGTTAGGCGGAGGAGGTGAGGAAAGTTTCCAGTGAGGCGGAGGAAGTGAGTAAAGTTTCCAGTTAGGCGGAGGAGGTGAGGAAAGTTTCCAGTGAGGCGGAGGACTGTCTCTTATACACATCTAGATGTGTATAAGNGAGGAAGTGAGGAAAGTTTCCAGTGAGGCGGAGGAAGTGAGGAAAGTTTCCAGTGAGGCGGAGGAAGTGAGGAAAGTTTCCAGTGAGGCGGAGGAAGTGAGGAAAGTTTTTAGTGAGGCGGAGTAAGTTAGGAAAGTTTCCAGTGAGGCGGAAGAAGTGTGGAAAGTTTCCAGTGAGGCGGGGGAAGTGAGGAAAGTTTCCCGTGAGGCGGAGGAAGTGAGGAAAGTTTTTAGTGAGGAGGAAGAAGTGTGGAAAGTTTCCAGTGAGGCGGAGGAAGTGAGGAAAGTTTCCAGGGAGGCGGAGGAAGCGAGGAAAGTTTCCAGGGAGGCGGAGGAAGTGAGGAAAGTTTTCAGTGAGACGGAGGAAGTGAGGAAAGTTTCCAGTGAGGAGGAGAAAGTGGGGAAAGATTCCAGTGAGGCGGAGGAAGTGAGGAAAGTTTCCAGTGAGGCGGCGGAAGTGAGGAAAGTTTCCAGTGAGGCGGAGGAAGTGAGGAAAGTTTCAAAAAAGACGGATTGAAGAAAGTTTAAGGTGAGACGGAAAAGCGAGAAATTCCGTTGCGATGGAAGAACAATCACTAAAACGAATTAAGTGAGTAGAGCTTCAGCAGAAACGTAAGAAGCGAGTATAATCTCTATTGACGCATACGAAGGAAGGAAGATTACTCTCACTGACACGGAGGAGGAGGCCGAAAAAAGTGAAGAAAAGTGGAAAAAGTGGAGATGAGGTCGCGATGGACCAAAAGAAAAGAATGGAGTTACAATTAATGGGGCTAAAAAATGAGTAGGGCTGCAACAATCCCTTAAAGAATGAATGGGGCTGCAATGGAGGTTTAGAAAAAGAGTGGGGCTGTAATAGGGGCTGAAAAAATGGAGCTGTAATTCGGGCTAAAAAAAGAGTGAGACCATAATGGAGGCTCAATAAAATGGGGACTGTAATGGAGGCTCAGAAAAGAGGGGGGCTGCAATAGGGGCCCCAAAAAAGTTGTGCTGCAGTGGGAAGCTCAGAAAAGAGGGGGCCACAAGATGAGGCCGCAATGAAAAGGTTCGGGCCGAGGCCTCAGAAGCGCTCTGATCGCGGCGACTTTAATCAAGCAAATGGAACCAAGCTGAGTGCTGAGTGCTGAGTGCTGGGTGCTGAGTGCTGGGTGCTGAGTGCTGAATGCTGAGTGCTGGGTGCTGAGTGCTGAGTGCTGAGTGTTGAGTTCTGAGTGCTGGGTGCTGAGTTCTGGGTGCTGGGTGCTGAGTGCAGGGTGCTGAGTGCTGAGTGCTGAGTGCTGGGTGCTGAGTGCTGAGTGCTGAGTGCTGGGTGCTGAGTGCTGAGTGCTGGGTGCTGAGTGCTGGGTGCTGAGTGCTTAGTGCTGAGTGCTGGGTGCTGAGTGCTGAGTGCTGAGTGCTGAGTGCTGAGTGCTGAGTGCTGAGTGCTGTGTGCTGAGTGCTGAGTGCTAAGTGCTGAGTGCTGAGTGCTGAGTGCTGAGTGCTGAGTGCTGAGCGCTGAGTGCTGAGTGCTGAGTGCAAGTGTTTTCATCTTCACTGGTAATCGGCGACTTTGTCTTTCCAGCATTAATGGCTTCACTGGAAATACTGTATTAAATATTTATTTTTCTTTGCGTTTAATCGAACATTTGTGGTGATCTCTGCAATTATTAATGTGGTCTCTGACGAGTTATTTCATTTTAAATGTTTTTTAACGTTTTAATTTCGTCACGTTTTAGTTTTTTACACATAGATTTTTTAACGTTTCAATTTCTATAATGTTTTTTCTAATGATCTAGTTTTTTACCTCTTTAAATGTTTTTAAACATTTCCCCTTATCACATTTCACGTTTTTAAGGTAGATTAGCGAAAGATTTGCATTAAAAAGCTTTCGCAATCATATTGGGTATAGATTCAATGAGGCTTAACATTAGGTAATAAATGTAATGTTCATATATGTTAAAATGAATAAAACTTTGTGTAATAAGAAATCATGAGTTGAAGAAATCATGAGTATATGAGAGACATTTATTTAAGCCGTGTTGATGGATGCGTGTTAAGTCGTACTTCGCCTTATTTTATTTATTTTATTTGAGGGCCACGCACAGATGGCGCTGCCATTATGAAGGCTCCTGCCAAATCAGTGGTAAACGAAGAACAAAGAAGTCACCACACCCCTCCCCGTGACAAAGAAATCACCCCTCCTCCCAAAGAAGTCACCCCCCTCCCCGTGACATAGAAGTTACCCCCACCTCCCCGTGGCAAAGAAGTCACCCCCACCTCCCCGTGGCAAAGAAGTAACCCCCCCCCTTTCTCGTGACATAGAAGTCATCCCCCCCTTCCTGTTACAAAAAAGTCACCCCTCCCTCCCCGTGACAAAAAAGTCACCCCCCGTTCCCCCTGGAAAAGAAGTCACCCCCCCCTCCCCGAAGAGGATCTGAGAGACTGAATGGGAATTTTGTAAAAATTTACACACTTGATGACCCATGGAACGAGCAGAGAGCAGACGTAGCAATAATACGCATTTTTGACTCGTCAAACTGAGTTGAGATGTACCCCCACAGGGTACATCAATATTTGTGCATCAATAGTGCATCAATATTTGTACAAAGTACCACCATTTGTCTTAGTGGAAGAAATGAGAGGATAAGGAAAAAAACTTAAACCTGAAGCAAGGCAGCAAGGTGACGGTGTTTCAATAGCGATGGGCAGTGATGAAGTTTTTGTTAAATTTTAATATGAAATTACTTAATTTAATTGAGAACGTAGAATTGCGATTCATTGAGTCAGGTGAATGAATAAACAATAAGTTGAAAGCAAATCAATTGCTACAACTCCTTAGATGAAAGTCGCAAATTTCAAATGAACTTGAATTTGAGTGACAAATTCAAGCAACCGCAACTCATAGGCACTAAATGATCTCATGTACAAACACTGAAAAAAATGTTCTGCAGAAACATAACAAACAGTAGAAATAAAATTCAAATTTGAGACCCGGTTATTGTCATATTTCAAGCGCTTTTATATTAAATTATTTTCCAGCTGAGGCGAAGAAATAAAATTGAAAAACTAAAATCGCAAAGTTTAGATAAGTAAAAGGCTTTGATTTTCTCAACTAAAGAAAGAATATTTGAAAAAGCTTTTTCTTGTGGCTTCGTTTTTTAGGTAGAAGTGAATATTATTAAACATAAATCTACGGAATCAACTCGTTCAGAATCACATTTTCTCGTGCCTCTCATTTCGCTAAGAGATTCACTGCACCCGTGCTACTCGATTCAACGCCGCCATAACCACAGTCATCTCTCAGCCACAAAACGACGCTTATTTCTCCACCATTTTTCATCACGACACCAAAAAATTCAATACAAACTTCCAAGAGAGAAGGCACGAGCGATCGTATTGCTTGGCCGAGTCTTGCATTGTCTTGCGCAGCGGCTCAATACGTGGTTTTTTCCAAGCATTTCATTGTCTTGCAAGCGTCACAAAAGCCGACGAGCCGAAAAAACATCAACATTCAAAAGCCCGGCAAAACTGACGAAGATGTGCGTAATTTTCCTAAAAGAGCTCGGCTTGGCGTCGCTAAGGCATAACTTGTACAGAATAGCAGACTTGTGATATCGTTTAGTGATATTAGAATGATTTGTTGTGAAGCATGTGAGAAGAAGAATTCATGTTGTTAGAAGAATTTATATTTGAAAGGAAATGCATGCTCAACCAGTATTTCAGTATTTTTAATGTGCAATAGACGTTTAAACAGTTCAATATAAGTCTTGAATAGAATGCCTTAAAAAAATTTTAACTAAACGTTTGGAATCAACCTTTATTTCCCCTTTCAATTTCCGGGGAGAGGAGAGTGTGGGCATCACCTGAGATTTTCCTGATCACCTGAGATTTTCCTGATCACCTGAGATTTACCAGATCACCTGATATTTTCTTGATCACCTGAAATTTTCCTGATCACCTGAGATTTTCCTGATCAATTGAGATTTACCAGATCACCTGAGATTTTCCTGATCAATTGAGATTTACCAGATCACCTGAGATTTTCCTGATCACCTGAGATTTTCTTGATCGAGATTTACCAGATCACCTGAGATTTGCCTGATCACCTGAGATTTACCTGATCACCTGATATTTTCCTGATCACCTGAGATTTACCAGATCACCTGATATTTTCTTGATCACCTGAAATTTTCCTGATCACCTGAGATTTACCAGATCACCTGATATTTTCTTGATCACCTGAAATTTTCCTGATCACCTGAGATTTTCCTGATAACCTGAGATTTTCTTCCTCTCCAGTGTAGGAAATATAGAAAGTGTAAATTTCATCAGATTCCTTCAAATTTTACCCTCTAAGCAGCAGATGATAGAATGATAATAGAAATTAATTAATGATAACGAGAATTATCTGCAACGACCAGCGTGTCGTTAGAAATTTGCTAATTGCTTTAATTGAGTCATTGAGGGCAATGTCTGTGCCTTCAAACAAAGGATAAATCAGTTTATCAAAAAATGTCATGTCTGACCAATTTATGTATAGTTAATGAAGGCATTGAATTAGGGAAATCAATGAATTCAAGAAAATAAATGTATTTCTTATTTTGTTTGCATCAAGTCATCATAGATGTATGTTCAGATAAGCAATTAACTTTAAGTTAACCTGGCTCGAAGTTTCGGATTTGGAAAAATCAGAATTTTAGTAAAAGATTTTGATTTTATATATCGACCTGGTCCACGTTAGATGCATAATTATTTACAATTATTCTGTTATGCATATTAGCTGCATCGGGCAGCTGTAGTGTGTGTTCTGTGTAATGTATATGCTGTGTGCACAGAGAGCTGTGTGTATATGTATGCTGTGTATGGCAGTGCTGCAATAACTGCTTGGTAAGTTGAGAGATCACTATAGCCACCATCATAAAAAATAATAAAAAAATGATAATATAATATACAAATAATATAATTTATATATAATATAATATAAACAAATATATTATGCTAAAAATATTGAATTGTAATTAATATTAAGTTAATTCAATGTTGGGGCTGTAAATTCAGTGTTCAGCGTAGACTCTTCATCCAGCACTGAATTAGAGAGGCAGTTCTTCTTAATTATTATTATCATAATAGAGATACTGAGAAACAAGAAGCTGTAAAGATGAATGAACGCAAATCTAAAAGAGAAATTGTGTTAGTAACGACTTAAGAAGTAGAAAACGGGTGCTAATTGCGACGTGCGAATGAGGGAGAAATGAGTGGAAAAATGAGAGAGCTTACAACTTGATAAGAGCAAAAGGGTCTTGAAAGAAGGAGAGCGAGCGGGAGAGAATAAAGAGAATCGGGTGTGAGCGTGAGAGTGGGAGGAAATAAATGCGTATGTTAGAGAGAGCGCGACCGAGAGAGAAAAAGAGTGGGTGCAACGAGGACGAACGAGAAAAAGAGAGGAGAGAGGGAGCAAGAGAGGACGAGTGAAATGAGGATAGAGGGCAGGAGAGGACGAGAGAGTGAGAGAGAGACAGAGCAAGAGAAGACACGTGAGAAAGAGGAGTTGGAGGAAAAGAGGACGAGTGAGAGAGAAGAGAGAGAGAACAAGAGAAGACGATTGAGAGAGAGGATAGAGAGCAAGAGAAGACGAGTGAGAGAGAGGAGAGAGAGCAAGAGAAGACGAGTGAGAGAGAGGAGAGAGAGCAAGAGAAGACGAGTGAGAGAGAGGGGAGAGAGCAAGAGAGGACGAGAGAGAGAGAAGACAGAGCAAGAGAAGACGAGTGAGAGGGAGGAGAGAGCAAGAGAGGACGAGTGAGAGAGAGGAGAGAGAGCAAGAGAAGACGAGTGAGAGAGAGAGAGAGACAGAGCAAGAGAAGACGAGTGAGAGAGAGAGAGAGAGACAGAGCAAGAGAAGACGAGTGAGAGAGAGGAGAGAGAGCAAGCAAGAGCAAGCGAGAGCGAGGCGGGAGAGCCGCCCCCTTATCTCCGCCATACATCACGCGGTGCCGACCCTTACAATGTTATCTGTGAGGGGACATGTGAGGGGACATGTGAGGGGACATGTGAGGGGACATGTGGGGGGACATGTGAGGGGACATGTGAGGGGACATGTGAGGGGACATGTGAGGGGACATGTGTGGGGACATGTGAGGGGACATGTGAGGGGACATGTGAGGGGTTATGTGAGGGCTAACATGGAGAGTGTTTTCACATGAAACACAACATTGATTCTCTGCTTCTGTACATCGTGCATGTTTGTTTTTCAGAAATGTCACAATCAGAGTTAAAATAAATTTATTTATGAGTTAAACTCCACTTAAAATGGATCAAAGTTTAAAGTTTCTGATATTTGAGCTTTGGGACGATTTATCCTGTGGCATATTGTAGATATTATTTCAAGGCATATCTATATATTTAATATAAATTTATTCATATGTATATATACAGATATAATTTAAAAGTTTTGATGCGTTAGGTTTTTGGATGTTTGATTTTGTAATTTTAGTTGTCAATCATCCATTGATGTGGCAAGCAACTAACGCTGAAACGTTGCTGAAACGTTTTCCGCGAAATCAACTTGCAGTCAAGTTAACGTTGTTTCAACGTCATTTGGACGTCATGAAGGTTTCATTATTGTGTTTAGATAATCTCAAGAAGGAAAAATGTGTCATTTTAAATGTGTCATGAGAAATGTGTCATCTTAAAAGAATTTCATTATGAAATTTCATAATTTCATAATGAATCTTCGTCGTAAATTGAAAGAGTGGCAGTGAACGAACGGTTAGGTGGACAAGCTTAGTTATTTTTCACCTTTGTATTTTCGCAATCAATTGTGCTAATTATATTAAAATAATTAATTTATATACTAAAATCCTTGGGCTACAACGGCTACGGGTTTTTGTGGACCATCAAGCGCTTTATATATGGAGGAAAACAGTCGGAAATTTGCAATATAATGTACTGAATTATACACGTAGGAACTATAATAATGATAATGTATACTGTATTGCTATCCTCTCTCTGTTTAATAAATAACACTGTATAATTTGTATGCTGTATAATTAAATTGAACTGACTTTTCTAGGTGATAATTTGCAGATTTATTACATTAATCAATGAAAGATTTTCATGCACTGAAAATATAAAAACTTTTTTTAAGGAATTTTATAAACGTGGGTAAATCAATATTTGGTGTGTTTAAATAATATTATTCAACGTTTGATTCATATAGTTCAACTATAACTTTTTGAGCGCCTTCAATCCTGCCCTCAGTTATCGAATCCTGCAGTAATCCACTACGCGCGTATCGCTCCTGATAAGATCTATGGCAAAATTCCCATTTAAATTTTGAACGCAAGTGTATTGGCCGAACAAATATTCTCGACGCATTACTGTGGTCCGGCCGCTGACCAGCGCCGCCCGGGCGCCGGCATCCCGCGGCAATGGGCCGGCGTGGGGCCGGCGGGGGCGAGGCGTCGTCGTAACAACACGGCACCGGGCCGAGGGCGAGGGATGACCGCAGTAGTCGCTCACTGCGATCAGTTCAATATCAGGTAATATTCTACGCAAACAAATTGTAAAGATAAAAATGTGATGAGGGTGGTGCTGATGAAGGTGGTGGGGGTTGAGTGGGCTGAAATAAGTGGGAGAGATCGAGTAAGTGAGTAAAAGTGAAAGCATTGAAGGAAAGAGAGCAAATAATTACAAGTGCTAAGAGAAAGAACAGGAAGACAAAGTATGGCAGATTAGCAATAGTCAACCAAGCAATAACTTGAAAGTTATGCTGAATAAATATAATGTTAAATGCAAAAAGCAAAAAGGGTCATAGAGAAATATGAAAATAATTTTAAATACTCTGAGACGAAAGACATTATACCTCAACTTACGAACGCTTCTACTTTCAGATGTGAACATGAAATCAAAATTTTTTTGCCTCCACCGAGGAAAAAAAATTTCTTGTTCCAACAAAAAATCTCTGATTATGAACCGAATTTCAGAACCGAGTCTGTGCTTACGAACTGGTTCGGTGCTATATTTTATGTAATTATGTTAGTTCACATTGAAAACCAATATCATATTCATAGCAACATTTCCTGATTCGAACACAGCTACGGAACGATTTAAGTTCGTAAGCCGAGGTATCACTGTATGTAAATTCGACGCCTTAAATTATAAAACACAATTCGATATGAGCTGAAATATAAAGACAAAAAGAATAAAATATGAGAATATACGATTTAAAGCTAATGCCATTTCATAATTAAGTGAGAACCTCGTAACAAGCTCAATGAAGGTCATTTTATAGGAAAACTTCTTATTTCTGATTCTGGACAATTCATTGGCCGCCGATAATATGCCTATACTTCTAAACCAGGGTGACGGGTGGTGGAGGGGGTGACGGGTGGTGGAGGGGGTGACGGGCGTTGGAGGGGGTGACGGGTGGTGG